CAACATAACCAAAATGTCGTACCCCAGTTCTCTTTTATTGACGCTGGTCAAGATGGCGATTACAGTTTATTTTCAAGTTGACTCTGAATCTCTCTGTGTGAATGCACCAACTTACAACAACAATAACAATATCTTACCCCAGTTCTCCTTCATTGAAGTTTGACGTTCACCCTTGGACGTCACTTTTCATGGAACACATTGCTGGGTGCCAGGAGAAACTTGGTTTCTTTCTTCTCCAATGACTTTAAAACAGATTTAAAACGGTTTTTTACACTTGCCAAACCATAACCTTTACATCTTTTAATGATAAATTTTTGGCTTCAAGTGCGATTACAGGTTATTTTTTCAAGTTGATTCTGAATCTCTCTGTGTTGAACTGCACCAACTTAGCCACAATATCTTACCCCATTTCCTTCATTAGAAGGTTGATTCAAGTTCAGGGCCTTGGACCGTCACTTTTCATGGAACATTTGCTGGGTCTGCAGGAAGAGACTGATCTTTCTTTCCTCCAATGGACTTTAAACAGATGAAAATTGTTTTACATTGCCAAACATAACACTTTTAACATCTTTTACATGAATATTTTGGGCTTCAAGATTGGCGATTTACGTATATTTGTCAAGTTGACTCTGAATCTCTCTGTGTTGAATGGCACCAACTTAGCCACCAGATATCATTACCCCAGTTCTTCCTTCATTGAAAGGATTGATTTCAGGTTCACCTTTTGGACCGGTCAACTTATTTTCATGAAACATTGTGGGTGCGGGAGAGACTGGTCTTTCTTTCCCATGGAACTTTAAAACAGATTTAAAAAGGTTTATTACACTGGCCAAACATAACACTTTTTAACCTTTTAATGATATTTTTTGGGCTCAGAGATTGGCAGATTTACAGGTTTATTTTCAAGTTGTCTTTGTGAAAAGCATTTTAAAACAGCATCATTTTAATTAGTTAATTTTCACTGTAACTGCTTGCTTATTGCCGTTAGGCACTAATGTAACAATGCACACTGGACTTTTCACATCTTGTGTGAGGTGGACTGGAAGCTGATTTGAAAAAAAACATTTAACCTTACATGTTCAGTTCATACTTGTTCTTTATACAGGAAGTTACATCATTTCCAAGCTCCTTGTCCTTTATTTCAAGCTATAGTTGTTAGTTATCCATAGTGGTTTTTTCTAGATAGGGCTCGCCTTTGATTTTCTAAGAACACACAATACGGCTGTTTACAAGCAGGTTTACCTTAACGGTTTATGGTCAAGGTACCTCTCGTCCCGTAACCCAGTCGTGCTGGGCAACTCCATTATGTTTAGGTTTTCACCTACAAAACCTTCCAACATAAAACAACATCAAGCCTTTAAAATCAATAAAGGGGATTTTCCTTTGGGGAAACCTGAATGCACTTTTTTTTTGTTTTTCCTCTTCCTGGCAGTGCTGGACAGCTACACTTTCACTTTTCATTTTTACATCTTCGCAGCACTGGACCCATTTCCTCCCCTCTGGAGAGCGGTTACAGTTTTACCCAATTGACTAATAAGAATAAGTAATAATGCATATGAATAACATGTTATGTAATATTAGTTATTACTGTATGAAGCTTGTGCTCATTCATTTATCTGTATTTTCCCTCATATTCTTGTATTACTTTTTACACCTGCAAGGAATTGTGTTTAACTTTTCTGCTTTAAAAAATCCTCCTTTGGCTCTCTTGGTACCAATCAGGGAAGCTACTGTTATTGGGAAGTGAAACCATACAGCTGGAACGCCAATGAGGGTAACCAAAGGTGGGCATATTCCCTGATCCTTCAGACATTGATCTGGCAGTGATAGTGCTCGTGTCCAGAGCACATGGTAGTTCAAACGTCCAAAGTCAGCTTTTATTGTCAAATATTGCTAACATGCACCGACATACAGCACGATGAAATGACGACCATGATGGTCAGATGCTGAAGGGGAGGCCGGGGGGGTGTGCGGTCGGAGTCTGTGGGCGGGGCAGAGGGAGGAGGGGGGTAGAGCAGGGAGGGAGTTGATAGTACTGTATTGTAACATCTGCAGTTAATCAGAAACGTTTGTAGTGTGCTGATATGATCCATATGATGAAAATATGAATGGACACATTGAAACAAATTGTCAATAGCTGATTGTTTCTGTGCGCAAGAGGTTCCCTGTGTTATAAGAGTATCGTGGCTCCTTTAGGGAATAGAGCAGTGCGTAACGTGTGTGTGGTAGAGCGAGAGAGAGAGAGCGGGAGTGTGTGTGCGGCGGTGAATGGCAGAGCAGAGAGAGACACAGGTTGGCCATAAATTGTGGGTTTAGCAGTGAATGTACAGTTTATGTCACAGTTGTCGGTGAATAAAGGCTGTCACTTCTCAAGACCTCAGTGGAGCTTTGGTGTGTTGTTTGCCAACTGCTGAAGAGAAAGTGAAGGGGGTTTTTCCCGGTCTGTGAGGTTAACACCTGACTTGGACTATGATTTTAATGACAATAAATACTTAATTTTTGGGGGCGAAATGGAAAATTTAAGTTTTTATTTTATATTTGTTGTCCTCTTAAGCTCACTACAGCATACATATTCACTTAACCC